CCCGCAGCGTCTCTGCCCCAGGCGTCCCCAAGAGCAGCTGGGGTGCTGCCAGGTTGGTCTCGCAGCGCCGAGGGGAGGCTCTACCAGACCAACCTGGCAGCACCCCAGCTGCTCTGCCACAGGCGTCCCCGATTCAGCCGCTGTTGAAACTGACCAGCAGAGGCTGAATCGGGGACACCTGGGGCAGAGCCGGACTATCGGAAGGGGGGGCTATGAGGGGTCTGGGGTGGCATCCACCCCATCCCAAACTCCTCATAGCCCCCCCTTCCGATAATCCGGCATATCTGATAATCCGGCACCCCCTGGGTCCTAGAGGTGCCGTATTTTTGGACGTTTACTGTATTTTTCTTCTTGGAAAATTGGCTGAATCGGGGACACCTGGGGCAGAGCCGGACTATCGGAAGGGGGGGCTATGAGGGGTCTGGGGTGGCATCCACCCCATCCCAAACTCCTCATAGCCCCCCCTTCCGATAATCCGGCATATCTGATAATCCGGCACCCCCTGGGTCCTAGAGGTGCCGTATTTTTGGACGTTTACTGTATTTTTCTTCTTGGAAAATTAACACACATTTGCTTTTAAAATTCCATTGAAACAGAAGACAATCATTGGAGCCCTGCACGAATACAACATTTGTATCCACATTTGTATCTGCAAAAATGAGCTGTGGATATTTACATACACATCCACAGATGCGGATACCCATGGATATAAAACAGATATCCACAGATTTGCAAGGCTCTAGCAATCATAATAAATAGAGGGAAATTCATGCCTGCCTTTTCTTGGTGATCTTTATTGAATATAAAACTAGTTTTTCAACCCTCACCCCTAATTTGAGCTTTATGTTTATTTTGTAACTCTAAAAGGAAAAATGCCCTGTTTCCTAGAGCTGGAGTTTTGTACTATACATTGACTTCAATGGGAGCAACATGAGACACTAAACCCAACATTAGCAAATGCGCAAACCTGGTCAAAACCCCAAAATTCCAAATTGTTCCCATGGAATATTAATCTCTAGTTTTCTTTTACAACCAGAACTTAAAAATAATAAAACTTGCATTTCAAGACTCTCAATTTATATTTTCTCTAAGATTAAATTAATCCTTCCTACCATCCTTTATACCCAGAGAGGAAAAAGTCTAGTTTTAATGTAAATGTCTCTGAATCAAATTTTGCAGGCAGGTAAACACCAAATAATTTTCACAGCACGTTCTTTTTCAAAGTTTTTAGAGAGAGAAAAAGAGTCTGTCTGTCTTTCTGTGGTAAGGGAATTTGCTCATGAATTTGCATATCAGCAGCTGTGAATGCTCATGTGTCAATTCAATACAACAGGGAGACTGTAATGAATATAATCAGAAATATGATTGTCATTATCAAATCCAGTTTTTAGGAAAGGAACTCTTTTTAGAGTAATTTTATTTTTCTATAATTAAAATCATAACTATATGATTTGGGAAGTTAGTTCTCTCTGTCAGTAGGGAAATGATAGATTTAGTCAGCTATCCTCATGTCCATTTTAGCATGTCATAACTTCTTTTTCTTTAACCATACTACATTTCAAGTCCTATCCAAATATCTGCCACCTTTTCCCAATAAACATGCCAAATCTGACATTTACTCAATTGGTCTCAGCTTTTGGAAGTAGCCCAAAATTCAGCCTGGGTCTGACGAGGGGTTCACTGTGGATTTTAGGTGCATATGGTGCCCAAAATCAAGAGAAGGTGATGATTAACTGAATCCCTACCCCTATAGGCCTATTCCTTGCCTTCAGACAATCGTTTTGTGCAGGTTTCTTTCTGAGCAAGTTTTCCACACTCATCGGTCTTTTTTCTGTCTTTCAAGTTGGGAACAAGACATATTTTGGAAACTATGGAGTCTGCAGGACATCACATCAGCACCCTGTTTCTCTGTGGTGGGCTGAGCAAGAACTCCCTCTTTGTGCAGATGCATGCTGACGTTACTGGTAAGTTAGATAGAGGAAGTAGGGAAACGAGAACAGAAAACTACTTTTATTATTTTAGGTGTCTAAAAACCTTGTGTTTGGAAAAATAAATACTCTTTTTATATGGAACTTTGTTTTGTTGGTTGGCCAAAAACTATGTAATGAAATGTTACTTCCTGAAAGACTGAATTTCCTGAAGTTTAAAGACACTGAAATAACACAAAGACATGGTGTAAACAATCATCCCTAATCCATATTATTAGCAAATAGATTTCTAGAGAAACTATGTGATTTCCCACTTATAGACCTTATTTGCTGAAATTCTTCTAAAACAGTTCTATAGAATACAGAGAATATAACCTTTCTATAGATTTTTTTTTAAACCAGCCTATAGAGTTGTATAGCAGGGATTTTGTTTACTATTAAATTCTATACATTGGTTGAAAGATTCTATAGAAATTATTCTTTTGTTAAATAGAGCAGATCCTTAGCTGCTAGCTTTGTAAGTTTTTAGAGTAACTTTTTTATAGAACTTTTTCAGTTTCTATAATAACCCTGTTGGTTTCATCCCATTGGAATTTTAAAGGGCTTTCCCCTGCTTTCTGTTGCTTAGATGGAACATTTTCTTGAATATACAATGCCATATCTCATGTTGTTTAGATAATTTAGGACCCAACTCTGCAGTTTGGCTTGCGTACAGAGTGTCATTGACTTTGATAAGATTTCATATTGATGAAAGTGCCTGTATCTGTTGTCTATACTTGCAGGACTGATGTTCAAGCTTGCAGTCTATTTGTAATCTATGTTCCATCTTTATAGGTTGGGTATCTTTGAACATCTGTAAGTTAGTTCAGTATGTTTTCTTTAAAAATATGGAAAATAATGTCATTTAGTTAAAGGACTTCAAAAAAATCCGTGAACTGTGTTTGTGTTGGGACATATTTCAAATTAAGAACAGTCAAGATGTTTTGGATCCAGTATAAAGCTCCAATTTGAGGTATTTGGTGTGTAGATTCACATCATTCTGACATCAAACCAGACATTCTACCTTAATGCAGGAAGAGAGATGAAAATCTGTATCATGTAATTGTATTAAATGAAAGCAGAAATAGAGAACCAGATGACACAACCGTCATTGACCTAGGTTAGATATATACGGTATTACCACATTGGTGCTTTATATTTGTCAAACATGATTTTATCGAGTCCACACCTTCTCTTATCTGATTCAAAAGAAACATATGGTCAGTTTCATTGCACATATACTTGGAATTGAAAGCTGCTTTCTGATGTCTGAAATAAAAGATCTATTAATAGGTATTCTTGTTAAAATTTAAACTGGAGTCCTTTGACCATAACTAATGGCTAAGTACAATTCAGGACAAAAAGGCCCTTTTCCACTCTTGGAATCTCCCCATTTGTAAAATCTGTGACTAACGAGGGATGTCAAAGTTCATCTGGCTGAAATGGTCTTGCTTCTGTTGAACTCATTAGAGCCTATCAGATAAAATAACTCGCATTCCTAGATCAATCCCCCATTCTTTCAGGAAAAGAAAAAATTCTGAATATGTTACTGTTAGATACAAGTGCCATTACTCAGCCATGCAGACTGCCAATTGATAATTTCATAAATGGCTTACAAAGCATCAGACTCTTGTGGTTCAGCTTATAAGATGAATATGGTCATTCTGAGGACTCTTTTAAGAAAATATGCAGTAAAGTTTTAAAGCACACTGAAAGTTGCCCAGTGCTTCAAAGCTCTACAAACAATAATACTAGCAGTACCTTTGCTTTCTAGCTTATCTGGAAATATTCAGGGGCCCAGACCCAGACCCTGAGCTGTGGTACAGCTCAAGAGGGGAAATGCAAAGTGGGCTGATCCCCTCTAGGTACAACTTTTAGAAGTTTGAGGGATGCTCTAAGCAACGCTGGCTGGCTGTGCCCAAAAGGGGCTAGTCCAGCAGTGAAAGATTGCTGGGGAGCAGAAAGGCTGTCTGGAGAGCGGGGAAGTGGTATGGCAGCAAATATAGTAGTTCTGTGCCGTCCAGTGATCTCACTATCTTCGATAGCTGGGGCTTTGTATAAGTGGAGTGATGCAAAGATGTCTTAAGGTCACTGGTCCACAGAATGATGTGAATTATCCTTGTGCTTCCCCACTTCGGATGATGAAGGAGACTCCAGGAGCTGATGTTAATGAAGAGTGTCATAGCCCCTTTCCAAGAACGCACTGCACAGGAGTAGCAAGTGGCCTCATGGATTCAAGACCTCTAGATCAGCGTGGGCATCCTAGGCTAGTGAGCGGGTCACGTGAGTGGCCCTTCTTCATCTCAGTGGGCTGCAAGATTCTCTCAGCCAAGACAGTCTTCCAGGATAGTGTGTTTTTGCTAACTGTGCTTGTGTACCTAGAATTTATAGGGAGTACCGACTGTACCGTAGCAACACTATGGATACAAAGAGAACACGTGGCTCTCACAGTCAATGTTGTGTGCAATCAGCAAGCCCCTCACTTCATGTGCATGTCATTTGAGTAATACCACTGTGAAAAAAACCTACATAGAAGGAGAATCTGGCAACCTTGCACATGGGCAACAGGAAACAACATTTTCTCATGGGCCACACCTAGAACGTTGATTGGCTGTAGGTTACCCATCATTGCACTAAGTTACTTTAAGACCTTACAGTCTTAGGACCCAACCCTGCATTTTAATATCTTGAGTAATAATGCTCATCACTAATAATTGTATTGACTTGAATCCAACTGTTCACAGAAGGAAGCATTTCTTCCAGTATCCTTCCTTTGCGGTAATGGGCCTTTAATATGTAAATCCAGCCGCAGAATGCAAATAACTCAATGATCATAATCAGGGAATTCACAACAATGCCAAGTACTGCAGCAGTACTAAAGAATTGTTTAGCCTAATGGTTAATTAGAGCCTCCAGCTAGGAAAAACCATGGATTTGTGCCCCCTTTTTTGGTTTTTTTATGAGGTGTGAGGAAGGCTGAAAGGTTCATACTTTATTTATTTCACTTTTTTCCTACTTGTGTGTTGTTTGTTTGTTTCTGCTGAAAACCCTGCTCTTTTCTACTCCATTTTTCCTGGAAAAGACTGTCGGGTTAGAGAACTAATAGGTATCTGCTATCACAGGTACCAAGAAGGTAAATGATAGGTGATAATTGTTTTTATATTTTATGGTGAGGTTTTAAATATCTCCTATTTAACACACACGTTTTACAAACTACATGTTGAACCTCTCTAGTTTGGCACCCTTGGGACCTGACTACACACACGTTTTACAAACTACATGTTGAACCTCTCTAGTTTGGCACCCTTGGGACCTGACTACACACACGTTTTACAAACTACATGTTGAACCTCTCTAGTTTGGCACCCTTGGGACCTGACTACACACACGTTTTACAAACTACATGTTGAACCTCTCTAGTTTGGCACCCTGCCAGAGCCTTCCCTGTTTCCAAGCAGCAGGTTAGGCCGCGGTGGGACGAGGTAGCACTGGGGCTCCTCAGCAGTGCCTCCGGGGCCAGCCCAGGACTGCATGGCTGTAGCAGCAATTCCTCTGGCCTCCGATCGCTCCGGAGGCACCTCTGCCGTGGCCACATGGTCCCGGGTTGGCCCCAGAAGCTGGAGTTACCTCTGCTGCAGCCGCATGGTCCTGAGCCAGCCCCAGAGGTGCTGCTGCAGCCATGCAGTCTCAGGCTGGCCTTGGAGGTCAGAGGCACTGCTGCTGCAGCCATGCAGTCCTGGCCCAGCCCGGCCGGGGAGCAGCCACCAACCGCCCATAGCCCTGAGCCAGAGCGTGTCTCCACCATGGCATTGAAGCAGATACAGAAAGCGAGTGTGGCCGCACCGGGCCCTGCCAGGGGAGTGACTCCTGGGGTGTACCATGGGGTCTCAGGCTGGCCTTGGAGGTCAGAGGCACTGCTGCTGCAGCCATGCAGTCCTGGCCCAGCCCGGCCGGGGAGCAGCCACCAACCGCCCATAGCCCTGAGCCAGAGCGTGTCTCCACCATGGCATTGAAGCAGATACAGAAAGCGAGTGTGGCCGCACCGGGCCCTGCCAGGGGAGTGACTCCTGGGGTGTACCATGGGGAGACTAGTGAGGGAGGATCTATTGTAGGGGAAGGCACAGGGGAGAGACAAGAACTGCAGGCAAAGGGCTGTACAAGAAGGCAGCTTGTAGGGGAGAGGGAGGGCCCCACTAGAAGGGAAGCTGATGGCAGAGGAGAGGGAGGATTGTAGGGGAAGACAGGCTCTATGGGCAGCGAGCTTTGTGAGGCCTGTGTCAGAGGGTAGCAGTGAGCATTAAATCTTGGCGGTAGTTCTGCTCCTTGGCGTAATGGGGTTCTCATGTCTTTGCTTATAGTGGGGATATTGATGGTTTATTATTGCTTCTGGGAGACTCTTCTTTGTTCCTCTTCCCCCCGGAAATGGAATGTCAGTCTGTGGGTTGGAGGAGGATTGCCAGTAGCACCCTACAGTAATGGTGCTGTCCAGCTGCATAACAGTCTGGATAAAGTTTAATCTTGTGCAAACATTAATCTTCACAAGGCCCACGCGAGGTGGCCAGCCCTGACCCTCAGTTCTCCCTGTCCCTTCCCCTCACCTCGCTAGGCTGGAGCACCAGAGGAGTGAAGTGTCTCAGTTGGGGGCCACATCAGTGAGGGTTGGAGATTTTTTGAGAAGTTTTTTTGCTTCTCACTTGTGTGGTCCCTAGCTGATTTTTCTGTGGGTCAGTGACTGTCCCTCCCCCCTCCCTCCTGACCCAAAAAAGGCTCCCCATCCCTCCCATAAATAAAGAAAACATTGAAACCTTTTGTGTTGGAGATAATATTTTACTTTATTTAAAATGAAGTTTGATAAACCAACATGAGAAAGTTAAAATGCTTAATCTGTTTAATCGTTTAAATTAAACCGTTCTTCCTAGCTGCAGAAAATATGGTCGCCATACCCATCCTGCGCCTGCTCCATCCCCTTCCCTCCCCTCCCGCCGGCACACAGACCCGCGAATAAGTTAAATCTTAGCACACGTCTTCTGAAAGGTTGCCAACCCTTGGTCTAGCTACAATACCAACACTTCCACTGCTTACTGGTCTCTTAGAAGACATATACGGGTAAATTAGAGCTAAATAACAGCATGGACACTGAGCACCAGGACTGGTGGCTGCAAACAAACTTTATGGGACCATAGAAAACTTGGCCACACCCATGATAAGCAGATGTCTGGCTAACTAAAATCATGCTGCACCATGGATGTTGCCAGACCAGAGAGTTCAGACTAGAGAGGTTCAACCTGTATTGGGAAAAAAAAATCTTAGGGTTCAGTCAGTTCACAGAAGCATGGGGAGAACTGCTAGTTTACCACTTCGGGTCTTCCAGCAACACAACATAAATCAAAACAAACAAAAGGGGAAAAGGAGAGTTGACATTGTTGATACACTTTTGTGGGAAAGGAGGAAGGACTCAAGCTGCTGCTCCTTTTTTTAATACCAAAGAAGGAGAAAATGATACATTCCCATTTTCCCTCTTGTTACCAGATTTGCCTGTGACTCTGGGATGTGCTTATTTATTAGGGTTACTCTTATGGGGGAGGGGGAAGTGCTGTGAGCATGCTGCTTGTGCTCTCATATGGAGCTGTGCTTATCCCTGCTGCCAGTTCCCTCCCAATGGAGCTCTTCTGCAGGAACTATGTGCCCCAGAACTGGGTTCTTCCCACCATAGAATCAGACGAACATACAGACACTCACATCCACTAACAGAGCATGTGTGAGAGGACGGGTTAATCAGCATTCACAAGCTGACCCCTTATGTCCCTGAACTCAGTAGGCTGCGTTGCACAGCAGTGCCAAGCTGTGATCCTCATGTGCCCTTGGACTTAGTGGGCTGTGTTTAACAGAACTTGAACTTACTAACCTCATATGCCCCCAGGTTCAGCACCTCCCTGTCCCCACTTTCACACCACAATCGTTCTGCTAGTAACCTACCTGATGAGCACAGCCCATAGGATTTTGGGGCGCTACAGGGATCTTTAGCTTAGGTACAGGAAGCGTTGTTTCAGAGTGAATGAGGAAGCCAACTCAACAGCCCCGAGGGAGTGAGAGAGAGAAAAGAGAGAGAAGCAATCAGCTTAACAATGACAGTTATTTATTTCTAGGGAGTAACCATACAAGGGGAGACAAACCAACAAAACAGTTACAATATTAAACTTAAATCTGATTGCAAATGTTAGGGCTAGCAAACCATAACTGATCACAGAAGGCAAGGTCAGGAGGCTATGCCTAGGGAGAGGTGGGGAGGGAAGAGAGGGGTGAGAGGGAGAGAGAGAGAGAGAGAGAGAGATATTTCCCTACTCCATGAAGTTTGAACTGATTGGGACTCCCAGATGGTGATGGTAGTTGGGGTCCTGAGTGTTGGAGACAGGCACAGCAGAGTAGAGCCCCCAGCACAATCACTCAGGAGCAGATGAAGTCCCAATGGAATTGATGCAAACTTTAGGTCCAGGCATCAGAACACTTTTCTTGAGCAAGGATAGGAGTTTTAGTAGGGAGATAACAATGGTTCACAGGGAACACTGGATTTGTTTATGGGGAAACAGAAGGTTCAAGGAGTATTCTAAAGTTTTGTTTAGGCTAAACAATAGAAACGGAACGTTCCTGACTATGGGTGGTGTTCCTTGAGAGAGCTCATAGCAAGTAGGCAGTTTCAGTATTTTGGAAATCAATAGAGGATCTATTACTACAATTGGTCTGATAATTACTGATTTGGGTGTGAATAGGCAGGGGTTCCTTATCATCCAGAGCTGAGATTTCCCATCAGGCAGTGCTTTCTGCTTTTGGTATCCCATAGTTCAGTGTGGTTCTTGCTTGGAAAGTGCTGTTCTTCATTCTGTATGCTAATGTAGATGTCTATCTGTTCTATCTTCAATGTAGATGAGGCTAGGGGTGTTTCCTTAATTCTATCACACGTGTCCAGAGGAGTTGAGATGCATTTTCCTCTGCCTTTTCATTGCTTTGTCTTTGGTTCAAGCACAGACCCGAGGGTGGAGATGGGGGTGTTCTCCATGAGTTTCATGCCCTAGCTCCCCAGAACTGGTAGGTAACACATTGCGGGTCACCTCTTAAGCAGAGGACTGATTCAGAGAGTGCGGATGGCTGATTTTAAAGATGTTTCCAATTGGGAAGATATTGTCAGATATTGTCATTTTTGTTCTTTGTAAAATCTATGTTGTGTGTTAATATTTTACTGAAATGTATGTAAATTCTGTATTTTACCTACAGCCTGGGATAGGTACTGCAGAAATGCTATTGCTTAGCAGTGTAAGGGGTTTGTGTAGTTGTCTGTTAGGCTAGAGGTTTATTCTTTCTCAGTTTAATTAGTTGTGTATTTAGCGCTGCACCATTTCATTTTCCAACAGAGGTGTGTTTGTTTCTTGTATAGGAAAGCCCATTGTGCTGTCCAAAGAGGTGGAGTCTGTTTTAGTTGGTGCTGCTATTCTAGGAGCTTGTGCTTCTGGCGATTTCGCTTCTGTACAGGTAGGTAATAATGGAAACTCCCAAATCCTACTGTTTCCAGTTTTCATTCACACTTTTATATCTGGCATCACACTCAGGTTATAATTAAAATGGAAGGAAAATGTAGGATCACTACTCAGCAAGGAAGATTCCAGTCTCCAGTGTATTTACCAATTATTTTCTTCCTTTTGTTATACATGTATTTCTCTTGTGTATTGGAGAAACTTGTCTTTGAGCTGTAAGGTGAGGCAAGCACAAATCACTGCTTGTAGCGTTCACCTAGGTAACAGATAAATAGGAAAAGTGTTCAGTAAGGCCCGGATCTTTCAGTGCACTCCAGGACGTGAATATGGCTGCACCTCAAAACAGTCTCAGGTCCTAGCATTGTAACCACTGCTAATACATCCACTCTTTCATCCCAGCCTATCACATTCATGGTTAGCCCTACTTCCACTTCCTGGCACTGGGAAATCTTAAACATAGACCACACTGTAAAACTTCCATGTTGTTATAAATATTGCAGTGACTGCCGCAGTGACTCAAGGGTCACTACTAAGGATGGAATTTAAGAATCTTTGTTCCAAAAACATCGACTCTGGCTACTTAACTTTGTTAACTTTAGTAGAAGTAGCATTCGAACTTTTATCTTTTGTATATCAGCTGCTAGAGGATGACATAGTCACAAACATTTAAACAGATGTTGCATGGTTTCATGCTGAGTTGTACACATTGTGCACTAAACCTGTGGTGTCCAACCAGTTCTGAAGCAGTAGCCATAGCGGACTAGCTACACTCAACCAGCCAAATAGCCACAGGTGGCCAGCGGCTAGTGTTGGACACCATCGCACTAGACTGTAAATTATAATGCAATTGCAAATACTCTTTCCAGGACAGCCTCTGCCTTCATTTTTTTAAGGCAAGCACAGAAATTGTTAAATGAAATTTTAAACAGAAACTGAATAGTGGGGCAGATCCACAACTGGTATAAATTAACATAGTTCCATTGAAGCCAATAAGCAGATTTACACCAGTTGAACATTTGGGTTAGTGTTCCAAATTTTTCCAAACAGATTCTGCTGAATGATCTGGATTAGCTGTGAATAGCCGTTTCCTTTCATGAGAATTCTCTCAGGCCAGGTCTACACTAAAGGGGAAAGTCTAATCAAGATATGTAACTCCAGCAACATTAATGACATAGTTGGAGTTGACGAACCTTAATTTGCGTTTCCTCACTGTCACTTTCTGTTGGCTTCCCTTATTCCTCAGAGGACCAGGAGTATTGGCCACCGATGGAGGTGCCCTCTGGGTTTGATTTAGCAAGTCTTAACTAGACACGGTAAATCTTCAAACACCAGAAGATTGATCACAGTAGCATCGATCTTCCCCAGTGTTTAGACATAGCCTCAGAAAAGTGAATCTTGCATCAAATTAAGAATCTTGTATTGTAGCGTACCTGTATTGTACCCTTGTGGTGCTTGCAATTAGAACTCTATAATTCTGAAAAATATAATTGATTTCAGTAAAAGCTTCTCGTGACAGGGCTTCATATTTAATTATTGCTCTTCCATTAATCTTTTGAAGATTATCTTCTGGCCTCAGATATATGGGTACTTAGTTTAAATTACGCTGTCATACACACTGATACTTGGTGAGTTAATATTTCAAAACGCACAGTACCATGTCTGGTTTTGTAAATGTTGGTAACTCCTATGCTATGAAGTTGCTCAGAGTCAGATGCCTTTTCTCATGTGTGTAGGGTTTTTTTATTTTAAACATGTCTCCTTATCTTGGCATACCCAAAATTTTTCAAAAAGTATAATCCACCCAGGAAAGTCAGAATAAATACCCTGTCAAATACTACAGTGCAGCAGACTCCTTCAAATACTTTTCTCCTGTAAACTGCAGCTGGACCCTTTCAGCCAATTACATCACAGATCTATTACATTTACTTCCTTCAGTGAAAAGATTGTGTTGATATCCCTTGGGGAAACCTCATTCTAGAAGCTTAAGTACACCCTTTTAAATTAGGAACACAGTAACCCCTGATGGATAACCTTGGACAGGTCATTTAAAATCTCTATGCCTCTGTTTCCCTATGTAACTAACAAGCTGATACTGACCTTTGAGATCTGCTGATGAAAAGCACTGTAAGAGCTAATACCTAGATCTGGGCTACTCAACGTTGGAAGCTCTGAGGGGCCACAATGATACTCAAAGCGCATGCCGAGGGCCGCAACTTTAATGTGGTTGCATATACATGCAAATAGATATGCAAATATATGCAAATAGCACCTTTCACACTGATGGGCATGAATACAAAGCACTTCCCACAATGCCTTGGCATCTCCTCCCTGGGGGCTAGAAACACCGACACCCTGTATCTATCTGTTCCAGCCAGCCAACCTGCCTGCATCTTTCAGTGCTCACCCCACTGGGGAGATGCCTAGCCATTGTGGAATGTGTTCCCAGCGGAGGCCATGTTCAAAGGATACAAACCACACTGCGGGCCAGAAACAAATGGGCCGCAGGCTGCATGTGGCCCACGGGCCACTTTTTGAGTAGGCCTGACCTAGGTCATACTGTTGAAATGGTACTTGTCGAGACGTGGCATGAGCACTTTTTGACTATCCTCATCAGTGTCTGTAGAATTTGAAATTAAGATTGTTGACTACCATAGTGAGGCAGACTGACCTCCCACAGACTCGGAGGAGGAGGAACCCCTCACGCAATCCTGGTGGGCAGAGCCAAGTCATATTCACCCCTCCAGCTGGAAGTCAGTGGGCAGGACAGGAAGTATAAAAGGTGGATCTGAAAGCTCAGTTGGGCTACAGCTGCAGGAGGAACCAGACACCTCCTGTTTGCTCCCAAACTGGGAAACTGCTGCTGACCATGGAGGGGCTGAGGACTGGCCAAAATAGAGGTTTGCTGCTTGACCCTGAGGACAGGCCCAAGCTACAAACTCACTGCCCTGCCCTGCCCTTCCCTGCCTGAGGGCCTGGGCTACCTATCTGCTTTGCTGCTCAACCTTGAATACACGTCCAAGCTATAGATTCTTGCTGCATCACTAATTCCCCACAACAGGTGATGCCCCTAGACGCAGAGAGGCAAACTGGCCTCCTATGAACCCGGAGGGGAAGGAACTGCACCACTGAACCACTACAGATACCTAAATATTTGGTACCTTCATCCATTCCTATGCACCTAAGTAAAAATGGTCTGGTTTTTCTGATGTGCTGAACACCTACATTACCATTAACTTCAAATGTTCAGAAATGTTTCTGAAGGTGCTGTATTGTAATATTTGATACAAAGTCTTTTGACAGCCTATCTGAATCAGCTATTGCATTCCTGAATCAGTCAGTGGCTCTCACTGAAGCATAACATTCAAAATAATACATTTGATCCTTTGATAAAGACATTGCATGATGGCATATGGCCAGTCATCAGTTGCAAACTATGCTTTTCTGCGAGGAGACTTCATCATGATCAAAATGCACATGCAAAAAAGAATTAGCTTATAAAGTCAAAGACTTATGGCTCTCATTTAAATTTCAAATGTGTGATGTTCAGTACTGCTAAGGTGCAATTATGTTGTTAATTTACAAGTGTTGTTGCAATTGCATGTGCAACTTGACATTTTCGCACGCCAGTGGCCATTAGATGCATATCTGGCATTTTGAGTATAAAAATAAGTTATTTGAATGAATAATAACAGTAATTGTGCACAAATTTGGCATATATAAACTGGTGGGAGAATTTAGCGAAAAAAACAAAATCACATTCAGCAATGCTTTTTCATTCTTTAAATAAAACAGTTTATGATAAGGAATGAATAAAAAAGTAAACATAGCAGATAAAAGAATGATGGGAAAACTCCCTGGTCTGAAGTTCAGTCCAGTCTTATGACCTGTAGAACCTGACCCTTCCTAAAGGCAGCCTCTTTTTCTTGTCTTCCAAGTATTCACTCTCATAGGGTCTGATTCAGACCCTGTTCATGTCAATGGCATGGTTTCCATTGACTTTAATGAGCTTTGGATCAGGAACAAGTCCATAGCAGTGCCTTAAAAAGCCCCTGTACATGTGAGAGGGGGAAACTAATCTGTCTCTCTAGGTATTTATATCATCCTCATTACCATGGTATCTGAGCATCTTGTTCACTAGGGAACAGGTCGTGCACTTGAATCTTGTCGCAGCACGCAGTTATATTCCTGTAACTTGGGAGAAAAATCACACCATAAATGTTTCCACAGAACACATTTTCAGAACATGCTACTGGTTAAAATATGTTACCTGCAACATACAGTAATACTAGTTGCACAGCGCTAGAGACCATTTACATAATTAAAAAATAGTTTTAATGGGGAATCTATGTATTAACTATGCTACAATTAGAAGCAAGAAGCCATGTAAGCCCCATACTCTTGATTAAACTTATATACAGTGGGGTAATCTGATTTTCATTAACTTTATCTCCTTTCTCTCACACACCCTTTTGCAGGCCTCTTCCCACCTAATACCATTCTCAGTGCTGCTGCCATAAATTATGGTTAGCTTTATTATAATGTTTGCCAATAGAAGACATTATTATTGACTGTTATGATAGTGATGTAGTGTAGCTCTTTTTTCAGAGCTCTTTGTTTGTCCAAAATAACAAGGAGGCAGATTATTGTAAGGCCTTTGCTTGATTTTTACATAGTCCTTACCCAGTCATTCATTTAAGTGGGTGTTTTGATTGGATTTGTCCTAGTAATTTTGGCAACTTGTTAAAAAGTGATTTTGGAATACCTTGGTTTCTGATTTCTCAGCACGAAGTACCTTAAAGTGGTCTGAGGTGAAGATTGGGCTTCTTTAGAATGTCACAAGTTAGACATCCAACTAGGCCATCCAAAATTTCTAGTCCTCTTTTAATCCTGGCCTTCATTTGTAGTGCTCTGCCACCCAAGGTGTTCATTGCTAAGCAGAAAGTTAAAATAAAATAAGAACTAGTAACTACAGTTGAACTTTGCCTATGTCTGTCTCCT